ATATCAATTGGATTCTCTAAATTTGCCGAACTTAGACCAAAAAACTGTATTTTACACTGTTTGTGTCTGCGCTATTCATCAGAATGTGAAATTAATGACAAATGTAATAGCTGAAATTACAGCAGGAGAAGATTACTATATAAATTCTTACAACTATCTATTGGCGCAAATTATTTGTAATCCATTTCAGCCAAAATGTTATTTAACAAATTGTGATCAATGCCCTGGTATAGAATCTCTTAAGGGACAATTATACCAATTGTTTCAGAGAAATCGTATAGAATATGTCACGTTTAAACAATGGATCACGGTAGATAGAACAAATCTTGAAACTATTATAAAGCCCGTTGATGATTTCATCGATTATTTATTAGAAAAAGTTCAAATTTTACTGCGTCACTCGTTTATAGCTAAACAACAAAGTTTATTTTTGAAGAATTCCAAAGAAAATTTAAAAGATGGGGAATTTTTAACAATTCTAGATTATTCTGAAAATTATTCCTTCATTTTACAAGATGAAGTTCAGGGATTTCATTGGAACAACGTGCAGGCCACTATACATCCATTTGTAGCATATTATAAATCTGGAGAAGATTTAAAAAATATAAATTTTGTTATTATATCCGAATCATTAAACCATAATACTAGTGCAGTCCACCTTTACCAAAAAAAATTTATTAATTTCTTAACAGCCAAATTTAATTCTAAACCAGAAAAAATAATATATTTTTCAGATGGAGCCGCGTCTCAATACAAGAATCGCAAAAATTTTCTGAACATATGCCTTCATAAATACGATTTTAATATTCCTGCCGAATGGCATTTCTTTGACACTGCTCACGGCAAAAATGCATGTGACGGTATCGAAGTAACTGTTAAAAGATTAGTTGCCAGAGCTAGTCTTCAAAGGCCAAATAAAAATCAAATCCTAACCCCATTAGAATTATATTATTATGCTAAAGAAAATATTAATGGAATTCAATTTGAATATGTATCCAATCAAGAATATATCGAAGAGGAATTAGCCCTTCGTAAAAGATTTAATGCACTGCTTATACATGGGACCCAAAAAATTCACGGGGTTATTCCCATTGATCAAAATAGACTAAAAACCAAAATATATTCTACAAAAAATATAATATAAAACAAGTTTCGTTTTTAAATGAGAAAATTAATTTTTAAAATATTAATGGATATATAACATGTGTATATGATGATAAATGGTAGTTAGTATATATAATCGATAAAAATGATACAAATGAAGAAGTAAAAATCCGATTTTTACACCCTTGTGGACCTTCAGCCTCATTTAAATTTCCCCTGAAAGATGATATTTTAGTGTTACCTAAATCTCATATTCTTTCGATGGTCAATCCTTCTACTCCCACCGGTCGAACATATACATTATCTCCTGAAGAAATCTCACAAGCTAGCCAGGCTTTGTGTTCCTTTAGATGAAGTAAGATTTAATTAATTTATAAACTATCTTAATTAGGCTAAATTTGTGAAGATTTTAAAAATTTATGATCTGAATTACAAATAAATATATATAATGGACATTGTAATCGATTTAGTATGATATATATACATTAAAATATTTTTAATCAATAAAAAAATGAATTTTAACATATTAAAACTATTATATATAGCGCCATCTATTTTTTTTTAAAGTATAAAAATCGCAATATTTTTTAAAATAAATATCCAGCCATGCTAATTGTTGAAGAAATTATTAAAAAAATAGTAAACGGATAATATTTCTTAAAAAAATTAAAAATCGGAGATCATATACATTTCGAAATATTAATTTCAAGTTTTCAACTGACCATAAGATGACCCATATTTTATCAAAAATTAATTTTGATGTTTTCGCCATAATCATAAATTATTAACTTAGCTATTGATATTATATTCAATATTTGATCATATTTAGTTTAAAATTAAAAACTAGTTATTTAACATCAGTAAAAAGCAAAAAAAGACTTTTTTAGACCTTTAACCCCGAATATCTCCGCTAATATAGTTGCTAATGCGCTAAAATTTTGTTTATAACTAATGGGAACATATATAACCAGCCTACGATTTTTCATCAAAATCGAAAGGGGTCGGCCGAAAAGTGATTGATTTGACATGGAATGACCCAAATATTAATTCAAGTTTATCAAATTTAGAATATATTGAAATGGACAAATATTAACATATATTTTTTATAATTATTTTAAGTCAAATCAATAACGCCCATATGAATTTCTTAAAAAAACATGTTATTTTACAATAAAATGAATTATAATTTTTGTAATACTTAAAAATAAAATTTTTGTCAAAAAATAATTTATCATAAATATGTCATTTTAAAAAAAAAATTGTTCAATTTTTTGACAATAATTTATGTTTTAATTATAAAAGAGATATTGTAGTATTTTATCGTAAAATGACATGCGTTTTGAAAACTAGTCTCTTTTACCTATAAATTTAATATCAAAACAGATATTCAGTGTAATATGTTCGTTTAATAACTTTGACTTCAGGGTGATATTCAACCATAGTATATACCTTAAATTTTTTTTTTGATCTAATTTTTTTATTGATTTAAATTTAATTTAATTAATGTATACTAATATAAAATTCTTAAAAAAATATTTATCTGAAGTAGTTTTGTTAAATTACTCGATTTTTAAAAAACAGCTAAGCCATATTTTTGGTAAAAAAATATTAGGCATGGAGATTTCGTAAATAAATTTCCAAACCTTTCTGTTATGTACGTGCAAAATCTCCAGGCTTGCGTAATATTTGTTTATTATTGGGATAGCCATTTTTAAAAATCGAGCTGTTTAACAACATTTAATTTGAAGATGTATAGGAACATATTAAAAAATATACTATAATATTTTTGAAAAGAGTTTAATGGTGGAGGGGTAAATATTGTTTGGCATCGTATCCAAGAATTCCTAATTGCGAATATTTGTTGCGTATGGATGATTTGCAGCCTCAATTGATGCATGTTATGCGTCAGCAAACGCATCTATTAGTATAATATAATCCCATACCCGAGATTGTCCTCTCTACCAAGGCTTATGAGTAACACCGTTTGGTCTTTTATTATCAGAAATATTTAAACCCAGCTTCTAAAGTGGAAGGAATGTTGGGTGATAATATGGTGCAAGTGCCTGCCGCTAGAAAATCTGCAGTTTAAGAAATTGTGTCCTTTATTGCCACAGGATGATGAAAGGAGAGCATAAATGTTGTATAAAAATGTTGCAATACGAATTCCTAATAATATACTAACTTTGGATGCGAGATATGTATCTATAGGTTTTGATATGGGATGGCATCGAGCCATTCATACTCAAAATGGTTGTTAATATAAAGAAAATTGGTGAGTTCCTCTAATTGCGGATTTGAAAGGAAAAAATAGACTGAACATGGAATTAGAGAAGTCCCAATCTTTTTTGAGGAAGTTTGTTTGGGAAAATGTATTAGGTAAAATGTTATTATACCAGGTGGTAAAAGCTGTCTGAATATTTAGGTCAAAATAGTCATTTTCGAAGAGCGTCTCTGGTCTAGTCGGAAGAGTGCGTGTATCTCAATCTGATTTTGGGTTCGAATCCCGTAAGTTTCGTTTTCTCTCTTGCCAACTTGATGATTCCGCCCTTGGGGGGTGGGGGGGGGGGGTGATATATAGTAGATCAGACTCGACCATGTGATTCCATTAATACATTAAAAAATAAATAGGTGTTAATATATTTTTAAAAAATCGGTCGTTGTTTAGTAATTGCTATATGTTGCCTATGCGATATCTTACATTAGCCTAGAAAAATCTGACTCAAGGAGGTTACCCTGTTACATGCGTTGTTGAGATTAAGTTAGAAGGAATAACGGACATAAACAAACGGTTAACTAAACCCACTGAGAGCAAAAAGACCAAACGCTTTTACTTTCCTTACGGACAAAGTAAAGAAGATGGAGGTGGCGTAGGTGCCCTTAGGAGTTTGAGCGATTTTAAAACGGCTAGCTCAATATTTTATTCAGAAAAATATAACGCAACCCAGAAGATTTTTCTCAAGGCATAAAGGTTTGAGCATCTATTAGCGAAATCTTGAGGCTTAGGCAATATTTTTCTGGCTAAAATATTGAGTTAGCCGTTTTTAAAAATCTGCTCAAATCGAGCTGTTTAACAACACTATATAGGATGCATAAAAAAAGAGATTGAAATAGAAATAGCAATGAACAAGAAAACGAATCCAGATTCACTCAAATTCATAATATACACACTTTACACTAAGTGTTATTCAACCCCAAAAACCCTCAACATCGACAAAAATATAATCCAATCTCAGCAAGGATTAACACTAAGCTGTTATTCCTTCCCAAAAACCCTCAACATCGACAAAAATATAATCCAATCTCAGCAAGGTTATCAGCTTGGGCCAAATTTGTTCTGATTAGAGCTATAGAGAATAGTGGCTGATATAAATTCAGAATGTAGGCTGGACCTTAACATATAGTATCTAGATTATAGCATTGTCGCTAGTCCATTAACCGTAATAATGAAAGTTCCCATTATAATTAAAAAATTAGAACCAATTACCGAACTATCACTCAATACAAGATATGCCAGCCATCTCTTCATCTAGATCATAAGGTAAATTTCCATAATTTTATTTTTATAAAAAAATAATTGATATTTTATTTCAAAAAATTTGAAAACTTTTTGTAAATAATTTTTAAATTATTTTAAAAAGGATCCTCGAGTCGTTTGGATGTTAAATTTTAAGCTTCCATTTTCATAATTCATGGAAATGATTAAATCCTCTTCTAACTGCCTTTATTAAATTGTATTCAAATACTACAGATAGTATTAAGCCAATTTTTAAGGTGTATCTACCATGTAGTCTTGGCTACAGCTTTTTGTGTTTCAAATTTATATAGATATTTAGCAGAACTTCAAAAATTATACACAACAAAAATGGATGAAAAGATAAATGATAAACGTGGCCTACCTTGTAGTCGCCAATATCAGGTATAGAATGGGATTTCGTTGCGTCCAGGTATTCGTCCCAATCAAACCTTTTAGCAGAAGTAGCGTTGGGAATCACGTTGTGGGACGAGGTGTAATCGCGTGGTTGAGTAAGTTCAATGCCATGGGTTTTGCAAAACCCCAGGGGAAATATGTATGGCGAAGTGGAGTGATAGCAAAATACGTTTTGCACGTTCTCTGGCGCTCCGTCTATACTTATCATCACGTATCCACGTTCTAAAACCTAAATTAGTAAAATATATTAAATTTTCATTAATATTTTTTATCGAAGTTTCTGTATATATCGACCCAAATCGGGCGTTTGAACAACATTACCCAAGCGTAACAAATATCGTATCGTTTATGGTTTGGATAAAAATATCGGAAAAGGTTCGTAAGCAATAATAATAATATTGGTCAAGCAAGCCTATTAGATTATCATAATATATATAGAAAAAAAGAGAAGCATATTTTTAAAAATTTTATCATACAAATAAACAGTATAAACGTAATATATATTAGTGATGTAGATGTCTTCCTTATTTAGATTTGGCCGATTTTCTCATGTTCTTTTCCATATATTAACGAATTTATTATAAAAAAATTAATGTGTTACTAATAAACAAAGTTCTTATACAAGTTGTAACCAGGGTTGAAAGATATTTTTTACGTTTTTCTTTTATAATAATTTATGAGGGGATTCGCCCCCATATCCCCTAATTTGCGGGCCTTCGGTCAGGTTAATCCATATACCATACTCATCTAAGTTAATATGCTATATTTAATATAACAAGATTTTTAAGACAATAGTAAATTTAATATTTTTTATTGATTTACTAATCATGTTTATAAATATAGCATAATATTAATTGATATATTTTATGTATGATTTTAAAAGAGGCACTAAAGATTTTCCATCGTCAATATTGAAATAGGTTGAAAACTCTTTGCGTGAATAGTTATAATTTTGTTTAACCATAAGTAACAGCTTCCAGTGATGATAAATGCAACTTATTACGTTCTTTTCGCTAGGCAGTAGTCATTAGACTGAATATCCTCTCTGATGACGCATTATCAAAGGTGAGTTATTATTAGAAAAGAAATCCATCCATTTTTCTTGCGCCTTCATGTGATCGTTTTTCGATAATTTATCTTCATAATAGGAATAAAAATGTGAATATTTCTCAAAGAGAATATCTGTATCTATATATGGTATTTTATAATTAATAATAATTTTTTGAAATTCTTCAAATGCTGAACATTTTTCTAATGTCATACTATCTGTATCTATATTTGGTATTTTATAATTAATAATAATTTTTTGAAATTCTTCAAATACTGAACATTTTTCTAATGTCATAATATCTATATCTATATTTGGTATTTTATAATTAATAATAATTTTTTGAAATTCTTCAAACGCTAAACATTTTTCTAATATAATAGGACTAAGATATTTTCCTATATTCTCTATAATATAATCGTTTTTCTTTTCTTCGTCATTATTATGTTGTAAAATATTTTTGGAAATGCTCCCATAAAAATTTTACTGAATTTTTAAATTTAACGAATTCTTTAGTTTTTGGATAAGAGAGTGTATATATATTGCTAAGATATCTTCCGATGTAATTGTAAATTTATGTTATTGACTAAAGTGCCGTTAAGGACAACACCTAAATATGCCTCTGCAAAATCATCTTCAAAAAATATTTATAAAATTTGTAGGGTTGCTGATATAATGATAAAAAATATTCTTTAAGGGGTTATAATACTTAAGCCTCCGCTCAATAGCTGGGATCAATGTAAGCCAGCGTGTTGGAACGTGACGAAGTAATTCTGACCATTCTAAATTGTTTCCTTCTACCAATTCTTTAAAAATTGTAACTCTTTTTGTCGAGTTGCTAAATTGATTATAGCATTTAATTACTAAACTTTCAATATCATATTTGAGAAAAATTATGGCCCTTTTAAACGAATTATGAAGAATATGGCATATACAACTTATTGGTATAATATTATTATTATGGCTTTTCAATTCCATCCAAATACTTTGATTTTCCCCATAGTTTACAAATGTGTTATCTGTACAATAGGCCGTAACATTAGCAATATTAAGTCCAGGTATTTAAATTTTCTAGCAAGCATCTAGATGTGTCTTTAGAAGGTTTCACTGCCAGATGAAAAAAATTTAAGTAATTTAACACTTATTTTATATTACCTTTATTCGATGCATCCGTTAATATTGCAAACGAGTTGTTTTTTTAGATCTTTTATAATATTTGATTTTGTTTTTGGTGCCAAAATATTTTGTATTATTTAGAGCCTTTTGTTCTACCATGAAAATATTGATACAATTTTAGAGTCAAGAAAAAGTGTGTAAAATAGCTTGCTCAAACAATTAACCGACATATAGCTATGGAAATGTTTTAATGATAGATAAATGTTGTTTCAGCAATAACAGACAATGTTTCATTCTTAGAATATTTGGTTACGTATGATGATATAGAAGGAATGGTTCTAGATTGTTCATTTGTTAGCTTATGTTTGTTAGATTTCATATTTTGGATTATATCATACTCTCCACTGGCTTATTGAAAAGCGTGATCCATATATACTACATTTTACCGACCCTGAATGCTGGTTTAACCATTCATATTTTTGTTCCAAACTTTTATTATAACTTACTGGATATATTTTCCTCTTTTTGTTTTTGTTTCAACATCTTGAGAATTATAACTTGAGGATGAGCTTCCTGATATATTTTGAATTTGCAAATCCATTCTGGAACAAGTTATGAAAATGGGTATTATATTAAATTTTTAGATAAAATGAGGTTTTTAAGATGATACAAAATAAATCAAATCATAAATAAGCATTTTTTAAAAAAATTTGTTTAGAATAAATATATTGCCTTTATTATAAATTAATTTTACCTAATTATTTTATAAAAATTATCCTGAATATATAATCAACTCTAGCAACTAATGCTTTATATTTTTAGACTTATAAATTATAATATGAAGAAATTTAAAAAATTTTACTGAACTTTAAATATATGTAGTCAAGGAAATTAAATTAATTTTATATGAAAATTCTTTTTAGATATTCTTAATTTGTTTGTTAAAAGCTTTAGCAATATTGTCAAAATTAAGTTTAGGCTAATTATAATTTGAGGGTGTATGTACAATTAATGTATTTCATTTAAAATTATACAAGTTTTCATGCTAAGATTATAATCCAATAAAAGAAATATAAAGTTATTTTAATTCATTTTACTTGATAAACTTTCTATAAATTGAATTTGTGGGTAATTAACTTAATATCTATTTATACATTTATGTTGATAGGAAATTAAATATTGATCAATGAATATGATGGTTAGTTAGACTATTAACAAATACTACAATTTTTAATTTTATATTTGTTTTTAAAAATAAATTGAGAAAATTTAAAAATGTGGGAAAAAGTGATTATTTTAATTTACTCAAAAAATGTGAAGTGTGAGAACGTGTATAGGTAAAAAATTAGGTATAAAATCGTGAGAATCACGGCTTAAAAAGTTGATTTTTTAAAAATTAATCCGAGAATTAACATTTTCGTAAGCAAAAATTAAATATGTTAATATTAATATAAAAAAACCTAATATGATCATTTAGAGTCCTGCAAGTCAGCACGAATTTTAAAAATAATTCGGGTCGGACTCGGGCTTTTTTGTGAGTCAGGTTTGGAAAATAAAATTTTAAAAAAGAATATAGAAAATTATGTTTTCTCTTCTAATATCAAAATAAATAGATATTTAGAATTTCTGTGACAAGGAAAAACAAGTGATTTTTTACTTCATTTAACTTCATAAAAATGCCTTTAAATTACCTTTTTTTTGAAAAGTCTCGGGGTGCCTAAGATAAAAAATTTAAACCGGGCTTAAAAATAAATAAAAATTTTGAGCCAGGCTTAAAAATATATAAAAAGAAAATCCGAAATTGAACTTGCAAGGGCTCTAATATCCTTAAAATCTCTATATATCTAGATGAATAAGTATTGAGTTGATTTATTAAATTTATTCTATTGTTATAGATACTTTAATAAATTGAAATATAATGCATTTGGCAGGGTAAATAAAAAAAATGGACCTGGTTCGGTACAGATGAAAAAATTGATCTAGTACATCTCTAATGTAATAAATTATTCGCTTAAAAAAATATCAATGAGCCGTACTTATAATATTTTAAGTGATTCTATGCCATCAAATTATATCTATAAGAAAAAGGGTAAAAAAAGATCAAGAACAGTTCTTCGTGCTAACTTGGGAATCTGGTAGGCACTGCAAACTAGCAATATATAAAAATATGTGAAAATAAAATAATTAAAATATTATTACAAATTCAAGGACCTTTCTTGAAAGATCAGTTCAGGTGACAAAAATTTTTTTTTAAGTTTTTAAAAAATAATAATGGCCAAATCTCTTACATAATGATATAAAACATATTAATTTAACCTTTCTAATGGTCGCAACGCATATTGAGGAAAGATTTACAGGATCCAAGGCTTCCAATTTCATTCCCATTTCAAATTTAGAGTTCGGAGGTAGTGTTCGCTATAATGTGTAGAATATAAAAAAATAATGCATTTAACTACATGTTATTATATATTTATTAAGGATAGCTAATAAAAAACATTAAATATTAGGATGTTTATGAATGAAGACAATTACATCATCTTAAAGATCTAATACTTTTAAAGTCAACCTACTTTAAATAAGTCTAACCACTCACAAAAAGGTTGGGTAATTCTCCCCGTTTTAAAGAAAATTAATTAAAATATAAAAAAATTAGTGAATTTTTATAAGGCTCTCATTTTCCCTTGATTACCCCTCATTTACAGTTAGTCCGAGAATGAAATAAATAAATTGATCGATTGCGAACGAATTTCATTCATAGTACAAATTACATCTGGAAATTCGTAAGGGAATTTAATTATTAATTTATAATGCATAAAGTAAAAAGTAAAAAGTTTTACTCAAAGGACTGACAAATTCCCCTTATATTTAATCCTGTCACAGAAAGAATAAATGATATATATTGCAAATTAAATTGTTCAATTTATAATAAATTTGTGTTTATATTTAATTTAAAGCTTCCTCATCCCCTCCTACCTTGAATGACATCCCACATCTTTTTTAAAAAATTATTTAATCTTTTTCATATTTATTGACTCTTATACATTTTTTAGTAATTCCTTTTGAAATAATTTTTGTATATAAACTCGAAATTCTATAATTGGGCCATCACGTCAAATCGATCACGACTCAGCCGACCCCTTTTAAAATTGTTAAAAATTTCTGGAATTATTTAGATAGGTAAAAGAGTGAGAAGGCCGTTTATTTTAGCTAGCTAGCACACCTGATTCACGAGATATAGGGGCTCAAAGGTACAAAAAAGAGCCACTTTGGAATCTGTAAAATTTTTAAAATGCTTATATTTCAAAAACTATTTATAGTAAAAAAAATTATAATATATTATTTTGTAGGTAAAGAAATTCTCTAATGGGCTAACAAAGAATAATAAATATTGGCGTCATTAAAGGCTTTTAACACGGTTTACCAAAATTGCTTTACCTGTATTTTTAAGCAAAATAGTGAGTTTGTTTTCGATTTTTTTTTATTGCTTTTTATTTAAATACCTTTGCTATATATATATACAATATCAAAACCTTGGCGACGCTATCGACTCAAAAAATTGTTAAAAAAATAGATGGCGCTTTATGAAATTACGGATTATGGTTAAAATTTTGCTGCTAACTTATCAATAACCAGATATTTTCCCTTTTTATACTAAAAAATGTTGATTTTCTATTAAATATACAAATTAACTGAGGAGCAGAGTAGTGTTGTTAAACGGCTCGTTTTGAGCCGATTTTTAAAAACGGCTAACTCAATATTTTAGCCTGAAAAATATTGCCTAAGCCTCGAGATTTTGAAAATATACGTATAGACCTTTGTTCCTTCTATGAGCAAAATCTTGAGGCTTGCGTAATATTTTTCTGGATGAAATATTGAGTTTTTTAATTTTTAAGGTATCTACAATTTCATCGAATTTTTCATCATTTGATGAAGATAATGGTATAATTTTAATCGTTAAAACTTTTTTTTACTCTAGATATTTTTTTCTTCGAATATTTCTTTTCACATAAGCGTTTTCTTTTAATGAGAGATTCCCCATTTGATTGTAGGGATATATTAATGTTATCAATAGCCTCTTGATTAATTATATAAAAGGGAGAATCAATATCTACATTGCCATTTCAAGTATAAGGAATGTTTGCTAATTTTTGACGCCATGAAGAGCATATTAACATATCTAAATTGAATGGTAAATTTTTTTGGGTCATCCAGGGTAGAATTTTTCTTAGATTCTCGCGATAATAAGCATGTCTCTGTAGATTAAATGGGTTGCAACATTTTAATATTTGATACGTCCATCTGTGATACAGAATAAAATTAATTGATCTACACCTAGAATACATGTTTTTGCACTCTCTAAATCCAGATTGTTATTGGTAGAGAGACGATAAAATTAATCTGAACGGACAGGTTAAAATTATTTCGCAGAAAGAGAGATCGTTTTAAAGAATTTATTTTGTAAAATATAATCGAATATATGCCTAATATTCGTTTTTACTGCAGCTGTTATATATTATCGAGCTAATAAGTCATTCGCTAGCTATAGTAGCAAAGTAGAGATCTAAAAAATGTAAAACATTTTAAGGATAGTGGGAGGGGGGGGGGGCAAAACTGAAAAATTTTATCACAATTCTTATAAACGTATCAATATTTTCATTTTCCTTAAGAATAATATTTTTCAACCATTAGCGCCATCTACCTTTTTCTTCAATTTTTGGTAAAAATGTATATTATGGAAAATTCGATAGCGTCGCCAAGGTTTTGACATCGTATATATATTATAAAAGGTGTCTAAATAATAAGCAAAAAAAATCGAAAACAAACTCACTATTTTGCTTAAAAATACAGTTAAATCAATTTAGGTAAACCGGTGTTAAAAGCCTATAATGGCGCCAATATTTATTATTCCTTTTTAAGCCCATTAGAGAATTTCTTTACCTACAAAATGATATATTATAATTTTTTTTACTATAGTTTTTAAGATATAAGCATTTAAAAATTTTACAGATTCCAAAGTGATGCTTTTTTGAACCTTTGAGCCCCTATATCTCGAGAATCAGGTGTGCTAGCGAGCTAAAATAAACGGCTTTCTCATTCTTTTACCTATCTAAATAATTCCAGAAATTTTTAACAATTTTAAAAGGGGTCGGCCGAAAAAGTGCCTTTTTTGATCGTTGACATGGAATGGCCCAATTATACAATATTATGTTTTACTTTATATACATACATATATAATATTTCTGTTATTTTTTATACGAGATATAAATAAATGCAATACAAATATTTTTAAATTCTTATTTTATAAAAAAAAAATGAGTCAAATATAAATATTATCAAAATTTATCTTGCAACATTAATCAAAATTTCATCATTTAAAAACAACATACAAATAGAAAAAGTATTTATTTTTATTTATAAACTATTATCCAAAATATATAATAAATGATTCAATTTAATTTATTAAAATAATACAATTAGTAAAATTGTCAAGCATGTTAAAAATTTAAGCTCATTTTTAAAGTCCTTAAATGTTTCAAGTCAAGATTCTGATGAATCATCCAAAAATAGCAGATTTATTGTAGGGCGTATCCCAATTTATTTTTATAATTATAGTAAATCATATTAATTATAACAACCACAATATTTATTTCTATTTTTCAAATAAATTTATTTTGCCTTGGATTTATAGATTAAATTTTCAAATTCCCACAATGAAAACAAAATGATTTGTATTTTATTAAATTCGCTGTGATCAAATTATGTAGTTTAGTACAGTAATTAGAGGTCTGCAAAGCCTGGCAAGCTTTGGTCTGTTAAGAATTTTGTGCAAAAGTTTCCCAGCCCAGTCCGTTACAATTTTTTTTCAAATTTGCCTGGCCCAGAAAATTTTAAAAAAAGTCCAAGCCCATTAAATTTTTCTGTACAAATTTTCCAGCCATCACATTTCTAGCTATTTTTCCAAAATGCCAATTATTTCTCCCTATAACTACTATTTCTACAACCGTTTTATAATTCAAGTTTATTTTATATCTGTTGGGCATTTGTAATAAGATCATATCTGATTTGTTCGGAGCCAAGTAATCGGGCTGGAGAGTGAAGGAGAGGAATGACTATGGTCGATGGTCCGGAAATTTTGGGGTGTGTGTACTAAGCACCTGGCTTTGTCGAGAACTTAGTCATTATTGATAAGGAACGGATTTCTCCGCACCATAGTATAAGTGCGGCTTTCATTCTAATTTAATTAGAAAATAACCGCACCATAATATAAATAAGGATTTTCTTTAAATTTCTTTTAGGGGACTGTACAAGGCGGCACCACAGTAAAAATATAATTTGTATAAGACAGATCATTTTGTTTTTATTTAATTCCAACTAACAAAATTTTTTATTCAATTTACAATTTACGGTAAGTAAAATAATTTATTGTCGAAATAAGAAAATAAAATAATCGTCCTTAATTTCGTTTTTCATAGCCTATTTATCCAAAAGAAATAGTATAATCAAACATAAAAAAATAATAATTCACAAGTTGGCGAGGTAACTTAGATGGGGATGCTCATATTGGTAGGAAAATAATATCAAAACAACAATCTGTGTTTGCGGTATTTATTTATAAACACCGAACGATAGGACAAACAAAAGACTTAATTATATTATTACTAATTTAGAAACATAAAGGGAAAAAAACATATTTTGTATATAATATAAAAAATATGTGTGGAGAGTAAATACAACAATATCATAAAGAAATTGTTTAATTTTTAGACCACTTTTAAAATATAAAGAACTCTTAAAATACAAGAAATAGGAATATTGGAATTTATTTTTTTTACGAAAATTATGCCCGAATTTTTATATAATCTTAAATGTAAAATATTTTTAAATTTATAATTCTTTTTAGAAAAATTATTAACACTTTCACTTCTATATTCTTGGCTACAAAATATTTATATATAATCTTAATTTATGTTTTTTTATATCAATCCTTTTTATATTTTTAAACAAGTTGGTTATATTAAAATTTTTATTCGTCAGTATAAATTTCCATTAGTTGAAATTAGTTTAACTTCAAATTGTTAATAAATTTAAAGAATAAAATAGTGATTTCAAAAAACTTTGTTTAAATAAATATGTATTTTTAAATAAATATATACATGGAATAAACTATGAAGCAATATTGTTTTAGAGAACTGAACCTAGATATTTTTCCTGATTCCTTTTTAAATAATAATCTGAATTCTAAAAAAGATAAGAAATTGAAAAATTATCTTTGGCAATCAATTTCAATTTTAATGTTTTCCTTGACAATAAGCTTAGTGAGTGATTAAAAAATTAAATTAAATTTTTAAAAGATTTATCTTCAATTATTGAAAAAAACAAGTAATTTTTAAAAAAAAAATCAGGAAATAAAAAATTTTACTGTACATTTCTCAAAAATGGAATAGATTAATGAACATTTGAATAATAATTTTAAAAAAATTGAAATCAACTCACACCATTGAAATGCAAAATCCATCTACATTAGAGATAAAAATAGCACAATCAGCTGATGATGAAATAGTTTTTAATTTTGTAATTAAAGAATTACAACCATTATCAATTATATAAAGCACTGCATTTATTAATATTATCAAAAAATTACAGCTAACTAAAAATGTGATGTTTAGGCCTACCCCGTTTTAAAAATTGACAAAGCATATGACACCATGGCAAAGAAATTTAGTGGATTTATTGTGTATCCTAAAAATTGTCTGTGGATTCTTGGTCAGCTTATCATCGTTATATAAAATATATTTTTTATAAATTATATTCTCTTTAAAAAAGTTCTTATTTAGGGATGACGGTACACTGGCTACACTCAGACATTCAGCCTGCTTAGCTTGTAAAAGGCTAAATAAACACATATTTGATTATCTAGCAAAAATAATCTTTGAAATTTTTACCACATATAAGATACTAAATAAAGTGACCAAATGCATTAGCAACAATGCTAGAAATTATATAATAACTTTCAAGTAAAAAAATTATAATATATTTATTAAAAATTTATTAGAGTATATGCATGAACATGAGAGGAATCGGATGATAAAATAGTTCCTCTGCCACTATTTGATCTATTTTAAAATCAAAATACTAATGATAGTATCTTATACTTACCTAAGCATAATTCCTGTTTAGCACACACTTTAAATCTAAGGCATGTAAAGATGTTCATTTTAAAACCATTTTCTAAGTGTAAGCTATTGTATAAACATGGGCAATCTTCAAACTGTGCAGCCATTTTTAAGGAAAACGTGGGAAGACATCTGATTAAACCTGTTATAACAAGATGGAACTCTTTTTATAACTCCGTGAAATTAATAGATAGTCTTATTAAGGAGAATTGCCAAAAATTTGACGAATCTTGTGATAAATCTGAATTACAGAGATTTTCAGATAACAAGTCGTTCATGGGTGAATATTGTATGGTTAGTGTTAATTAAGAAATATGATGTGTATATGTATGATTTTATAGGGTTGAACCTATTAATACAGCTCTTTCAATTTTAGAGTGAAGAAAAAACATTTTGGAAATCTCACTCCCACGATAGCTATTATAATATTAAAACTTAAAAAATGGCTTTAATTCAAGTTTTGTAAGCCGCTTATTAATTAAATCATGGATAGATAAAAGGTATACAATTCAAATATTGCTTACAATTTATATTTTGATTATCTTTTATTTTCAATAGATCGTACATTTTATAAAGATGAATATATACTATCCGCAATAATTCACCTGCTATTTAAATTAGATTGGCCCTGGAAAAAATTAGAGGTCAACAAAGGAAGAATGCTAAAACTTATTTACCGCTAGAGGAAAGTCTTGATAAAGAAAGAGCAGACAATTCCTCTATCCAACATAAATACCAGATTATTTGCTGGTAAAGATAATTTTTTTTAATGAGGAAATGAATGAATCCTTCCTTGTGAAAATAGAAATAATTCTTTAAATATTTTTAATAAATTCCCAGAATTAAAATTTATATTTATTAAAAATAATACTACTCTCCCATCCTCTACATCAATTAAAAGTGTGCTTAGCACGGCGAAAGCTGTGTTGAGCACTAAGCGCTCTTTGTCTAGTCAAAATTTTGAAAATCAATTGTTGCTAAAAATAAATAAAAAATGTTACAAAAAGATGTTATCTTATATAAAATATATTATTTTTGTATAATTTAATTTATATTATAATTATACATATGAAAATTTTTTTTATAAAAAGATTTTATCTTATTATATATTCTTTTAGTATGATTTTATTTATATTATATATTGTAGGAAAAAGATTAATATTTTTGTTGTATACAATATTTAATTTTTTAAGTAACGAGAACCTGTTACTTTTTTGAATAGTCAGTAATGCACGTTTCTTTTTTAAAAAGGTAACGAGTAACGGTAACGCGTTTTTTCTGTAGTAACGTTTACAGCACTATTTATAGCAAACTACAATCTAATAATAGTACAATGATGATAATGAAAAAATATATAAATAAAATATAACAAAAATATTTTTAAAAAACACTACCCCCCCCTTATTTAAATATCTTTTATTATATTAAATAAAATACACTTTATAAAAAAATTAAGAATTATCACTAAGCACAATCTTTCATATTCAATCTCATTCGAATAGTAAACTAGTCGAAAAGGATATCGTTAGGGATCTACTCATCTCAACCCCAGACTTATTACCTGATTCTACCATATCGTTTCCGTCTTGCAGTTCCCTCGTATGGTCGAATGGTGCCATCATATTGATCCCATTCGGATTCAGCTCAATGAGCGTAAATTGTTCATAACGACCACCTTGCTTTTAAGGTTGTGTTGTTCAGAATGTAAAAAAATTGACAGAAAAGGTTGAAATAAATAATAAGGAACCTAATAATTTTGAAAGGAGATTGATATTTTGAAGGATCAATATTTCGATATATTTGATGAAAAACTTGACTGTTTAAAGGATTATCAAGTAGAAATGAAGGGTAAAATTCCAAAGTTTTGTGCAGTGCGCAAGGTTCCTTTCGAATGGAAGCATGAAATTGAACTAGAATTGGATCAATGGTTAAAAGAAGAAATTTGGGTAGCCCCATTGGTCCTAGTGAAAAAAAGCAAATGGTAAATGCAACTTTACACCAATATTAGTGATACTAAATATTTGTGTGTAAAATAACCTAGGATAGGGGAAATATTCGCGAATTTAAAAGGAGGGAATTACTTTTCGAAAGTATATTCTTCTTTATTTTACAATTATCTATAAAAGTGGGAGGATGTAAATTGCTTATGATTACAACGTCCAAAGATTTGTTTGCATTTTGTATATCACCTTCCAGGATAAGTGCACTGGCTCCATTATTCCAGCATACAATGGATACGGCTTTTCAAGGTTTAAGAGTATTCTATTATATGAATGATGTGTTAATACTGGGCTTGACTTTGAAACAACACAATCATAGATTAGAAGAGGTTTTAACGAATTCGTGATAAGATTAATGGGCAGTCAGGGAAAAGGTATTTTGGGAGTTACCAAAATATAAGGTGATAGATTTGAGGTGAAACCATTAGATAAAAATCTTGTAAGCATTGAAAATATGCATAAAACAATTAATAAGACAGAGGTTCAGTCTTTTCTTGGGATGGTGAATTATTGTGTTAAGGATATCGCAAAGTTTGCAGCTAGGCTATATAAATTAAAGAAGGGTATTCATTTTGAGTGGACAGACGAACAACAAATTTTTAAAATTTTAAAGCAAAATGTGAGGGAAGAACACATTTTGGTATATTTTAATAGCGAGTTCGAGGCGATTCCAGCCAATGATGCATCCAATAAAGGTGTTGGAGGAGCATTGTTACATTGGATAGGGGGTTTAGAACGCCCAGTATTTTTTAGAGAATTTTCCGGGATATGAAAACGAGATACTGAGTAATAGAACAAGATGCCCGAGCAGTAATTTTTGGATTGACTAATGTCGGGAATACCTAAATGGTAGAAAATTTATTATTTATACAGATCATAAGCTAGATTTTTAAAAAAAGATAACAGGGAATTTATGGCACTGCCCCTGTTACAGCGATAGTTATTGCTTGTTGGTAGTTTCGATGTGTAATTAAAATATAGGAAGGGGTAAAGAAAATCATTTACCGGATAGGTTATCGAGATTAGGAACAGGGGAGGAAACAAGAGATATGCCGGGGTAAAACAGAAGAAATTGAAGAAACGTTAATATTTAAATAAAATTATGGCTTCTTTTGGGGAACCATAAAAAATAGTTGACACTTTTTTATTGGTTTGTAAATAGATTTATATCAATTGCACACAGTATATTTTAAAATTATATAACAAATATGTTTTTAACAGCCAATAAACGTCAATTGTCTACCATTGGCAAAAATTTTACACGACTTAAAGATTTAGCACAACTTTGGTGAATATAAAAATACAAATTTGCTTTTTGTAAAAGGCAGATAAAATATATAATATCTATATTGTGCATCTGGATAGAATTAAAACTTTAATATATAAGTTTTTAAAATAAAAAATAGTATTATTTAAAAATATCAAAAAAAGTTATTTTGAGTAATTTTAAAACAAAAATATTTTCAAATTCAAAAATAATAAACCCACATTAACAACACTCCATTCGCTATCCTTAAAAAATAATATTCCATCTACCCTTAAACTTGTGAGCCTTAAATTATAACTACTGATAGTATCTCCCATTCATTGGTCTAATACTGTAGGTGTAAAATTGAAATGATATTGATTTTGCATAAAATCAAACATTAACTATATAACTCGATTTCTAAATAAGGCTAAAACAGCCTAATAAATCTTTACGCCTTTATTACCGGGATATTTGGCAGAGAGGCAGTACATTAAACCTTAACCAGAATAGAACCTTGAGCACTACTGATCCCAGAATAGCATATATTTTTTCTTTAGATGTATTCCTTTAAAAAATAATGTTTATTTTATATATTCTTTTCTCGTTTCTAAAAAAATAAAATATACTAAAAATATTTGATAAAAAAAATCTTTGCATATGATAAGAGAATAGTACTTAATTTTTTTTATAAATTTGATATTATTGAACATACAGTAGGTCTAGTAAACAAGTCGTACGGGGCGTAATCGCTTGAATATCGTCCTTGAATAGCTAATTCTTTGGATTTTTCGATGTAGTCTTGCAAAAAAAAAATTTAATCCATTATACAGCTATATTTTGATTTATTTATGCTACATTAGGCCTATTCAAAAATAATTCGAATATTCGATTCGATTCGAATAATTCGATTCGAATAATTCGAATCTAATCGAATATTACGAATACGAATAATAAATTATTTGTTTTATCTGAATACGAATAATCATTTATTCGATTCGAATAAAACGAATTATTCGTAATATTTAATAAATTGTTTAATAAATCTAACATTTGTCATTTCTATTTGTTGACCTGCCAATCTGACAGGTGATGTGTTTGTGTTTATAAAGATTCTAGCACAAATTTAAAAATTTCTGAAGTGAAAATTTAAATTTTTATTTGCCACATTTTTTGAATCTCACGAAAAGTTTATTTTTTGAATCTCATAATAAATTATATTAAAAATTAAACAAACCAGAGGTATATAAAAATATATTACATCTCTAACAATAATTATTGTTAGCTAACCTAATTATGTTAGAGAAGAATGCTTATGATGAAATTATGCTTGATGTTGAAGATAAGAAAATTCCCTCATAAAAGAGAGCAATCATATGGGATCAATATCAAATCCTTAAAGAAGGTGAAAAGGCTTCTTGCAATCATTGCAAGAGTATTATAAAATCTAAAGGCAAAACAACCTCTCCTCTTATTAATCATTATAATAGGTGTCATTCACACCTTAGTAAAAAAAATAATAAAATTGACATTTTTTGAAAGTCTACACCAAATTCTTCAAAAAAAATTAATTTTAAGGATAATTTATTAAAATTATTGATAAATAATAATATACCTTTTAAAATTATTAATTCAAATGATTTTAAAAATTTTATAAGTGATCTTGATTGTTCTGTAAAATCATTATGCTCCAATACTTTTAAATTGCACATGTATAATATATTTGAAGATAAAGAACAGTTGGTAAAGGAAAAATATATAAAAATAAAAGTCAGTTTAATTTTTCATCTGACATTTGGACTAGCAACACAGGTTCCTTTTTTAAGGCTAACAGCCCATTTTATTGATGATAATTTTAAAATAAATAACAATAACATAATTTTGGATGTCAGCCCAATAAATGAAACACATTCAGATGAAAATATATTTAAAGCCTTTGTTAAAATAATTAAAATTTATAATTTAGAGAATAAAAATTTTTATATAACTTTTAGATAATGCAACTAATAATAAAACATTTATTGATATATTTTCTTTAAAATATCCATTAATAAAAATAGGGCACATCCGATGCTTTGCCCATGTAATTAATTTAATATCCAAAGAAATTTTAAAAATTTTAGATCCTTCGATTCTCAAACTAAGAAACATTATTAGAATGATTCGTATGTGGTGAAAGGCAAATGCATATCGGATCCCCATGCTCTCGAAAATGGCAAGGGATTATCTATCTATACAAGGAACATCAACTGCTTGTGAAAGGCTTTTCTCAGTTGGAACTAATTTATTGTCAAAAAACCGCATGTCATATAAGGAAGAAAATAGAAGAAAAACTCTTTGCCTTAAAAATTGGCTTAAATTATAAAATAAATTAATAATATACATTTTAATTTTGTTTATAACTTGATTATATATTATTTATTATCAGATTATTGATTACATATTATTATAATTTTTTTTGTTTAAAATCAAATTTGTAATAAAAAAATTTGTCAATATATTTGAGTATGATTTATTTTATTAAAAAAATTAATTCGAATTATTCGAAAATAGTAGATTTTATTATTCAAATAGTAAATTATTCGATTCGTTTAAATATGAATAATGCACTATTCGATTCGAATTCGTTTTTGAATAGGCCTACTATATATACATGTAGTTTTGTAAAAAAAATGTTTAACATTGAACTAAGTTTAATGATTTATGGCTTACAAATAAGACCCACAGCCCAAATAATAATATTGTAATTTCTTCTGATTTTTCCTTTTGATTGATTGACTTTCACAATTATAAAATAAATTCAAAAAGTATTAAGATTTTTTCGGATTAGGATTTTAGGTGGATCAGGTTGGTTTAAAACTATTTGTTATGATTCAAAATTTAATCAGTGATATCAATATATCATGGTTTGATTTATATTATTTTACAATTTTGTTTTATTTAAGATTATTATAACAAACTAAAAAATAAATAAATTTTAGGGTAAATTTGTTTTGCATTTTAACTTTTGGGCCGGTGGGTCTGAAATATGTAATTAATTTTATATTCGAGTTGGGTCGGGATTTCTTCCTTTCAGGTCAAAAAAATAAGTTTCTTGCAGGCCTCTAAATATTATCATCATATCAGTAAACAAAAATCATAAGGGTAAATAAATAAAAATATGGCAATAAACAAAAGTTTTAAAATGTATATTTAAGTTTTGCATGAGAAACTCTATTCTGATTTTAGCTCTTTCCCAGACAACCTATTAATTTCAATATGGGTGCTTAAATTTGGGAAAATTAATGGTTAAAAAATAAACCATATATTTTTTTATAATTTTTAGAGTTTTACCTTTGTCGGCTGTAACTTTGTGACCGACGAGTGCTGACCAGCCCACGGGATGTATCAAGGGGGAACTCTGGTGACACCAAAATCCTTCGACTTCAGCGTGGTCATTGAGGGAAGCATGCAAAGAGTTGGGTGGTTCTGATTAAATATTATAGATATTATATATATAATCTATTCAAAATGTGTCAGGTATCATTTGGAAGATAGCGTGCAATGTCATAACCAGAGTTCTGATTCAGAAAATTTAAAAATTGGTTTGCTGTAAAAATTCTGTCAAAAAATTTCATAGTGATTGTCTTTCCAAAATGTGATCGAACCCACCTCGGTCCCATATTACCCAGGTTTTAAATGGCTGTTCAAAAATTTGTTCCTGTTTATAAAAATAATTCAGAACTCTAGTTATAACAAACTAATGTGAGTGGTCCAGACTTGCTCGTAGATTTTTTGGCCAAGCCAGTAAAATAATTTTGTACAAGCAACCCAAAAATCTTCTTAGCCTTGGGCAAGGCCTAGTCAACTTCTACATACAAGTAGGATCAATGAATCTTAGATCAGTGCTTTTAGGTGGCGTGGCACAAATATAAGGCAGGCTAATATCCACTTATACAAAAAAAAAATTTAAAAAATAACATTTTTTTTTCTACAAAAATTTTCAGTTTTGTTGGTTTTTATTTTTAAAAGTTTTTTAAATCTTTTTATTAGATTATTGTTAATGTGATTATTAATTTTAAAAATCCCAAACTTAAAAAACAGGATCCAGGGTTGGGCAGTATCGTGAATATTTTTATTTAAAATACTAAATGCAAATACTTTTTTGCATTTATATTTAGCATTTATTTGAATAATTCGAAGAGTATTTACCCTGCATTCATAATTAGCACAAATTATGAGCGAACAAAGCATGCTGTGTTTTTGTATATTTTGCTACAAATTAGCGCTATCTGTGAATGCAAGGTTAGTGTTCCTGGTTCAACTTATTTTTGATACTAAACGCTGTTTTGCCTAAGCAAAACAACTTTTGAACTAGGACACCCTATTTTGGTTTTAAGTTTTTTTTTGTTTTTGTAATATACAAAAATTAAAAAATATCTTGTATTTAATATGAATAGAAATAAATACTTATACAATTACCTTTAGTTTTTTTTAATTATAAATGTAGAATCCTTAATTCGTTTTTTAATATAAATTTTGTGATCTGAGGTAGGAAAAAGAATCACCTTCTCTGATTCATCCTATTTTATTAAAATGACAATGAGATACGATACATATTTTAGATAATGGTCTATAAAAAATCCTGTAAAAAAAACTTCTATTGGTATATTCGTATTCGTCAAAGAATTTAAGCTAAATATTTTTTTTGGAAATTAAAACTAAAAAAGTCGGAATAGAATTGAACCATTATACCAAAAAATTAGATACCCTGATTTAAAGGGGCCACATCTCAAGAAGTAGGCCAAGTTGGAAAAGAAGATTAGATTTTACTTTGTTAATGTGTATCGTATTTGGATATGGAAACCAGGGAAAATAGAACTCTCTCAAATTTAAATCATTTAGTGAGGGGTATTATTTAATTTGAGAAATTTGATTTAACTGGAAAAGCCTTTAATTTTTTTACATGGAACCCCAGGGATCCGAACTGCGAATATCGGTGTTCAGGTAAGAATAAAAAGGTTCCGTTTTTATTTGTTGTAATATTTTGATTTTATTGAGTTCTGGAGTGTGTTTTTTTAGTGATGCTCAAGATTTGCTCCGTGGTGCCCCTTCATAGTTGTGACACAATCAGTAATATTACATTTTGATGTGCCATGTGTCATTTATAATACTATATATAAATAATTTATATATTAGATTCGATTTATCTCGGCATTATAAGCATAAAAATATTTTAAAAAAATTTTAAATGGTAACATACTAATGTTTATAAAAATTGTGCCTGACACTTATTAATCAAAATTGATTGATAATAATCTTTAAAACAATTCGAATAAAAATTAAATATTAGCAATATCTTAGTAGTATATTTTATAAGTAGAAAATAATGAGGTTCGAACCGATTCACATGCTTTTTAGCGGTTTCAGTTCAGGTCCGACTAGAAAATATTTTGACGGTTTAGGTTCGGTTTGTATTCCTGCCTAGCCCTAATATAAAAATTTAGGCGTTTCCAGCCACAGGCCGAGCATTGCAGATCTTTGTAAGTATATAATTTTCCCTTTTGATTTTAAAAAATTTGATGCCATTATCTGATGTTATATTTTTATATAAGCTTTACAATATTTCTGCAATTTGTGTAGAAATGTTTAATCCTTGTCTTAATAAAAAAAATAAACAATTACATTTTATAAAATATTTTACAGCAACTGGAAAAATTTCTTGTTTCCATTGTTTGATCAGTTGCAATCGACTATTAACATGTTGAATTTTAAATAATGTGTAATTAAATTTTGCAGCATGCTAAATTTAAAAAACAGTGTATGTATTGGAAACCTCTGATTTATAATATAAATTATTAAACCTAATTTCTACTCTGATTATTAATATTAAAAAAATTGAACTAGTTCATTAAATATAAAGCAGGTAAAATAATCACTTATAGTTCATACCAGTGATCTGCATCGGGCCTATTCAAGTCCGACCTTGCCCAAAATTTATTTTTAAAAATTTGTCCTACCCAGCCCGATCCCGAACGAAATTTTTTTATTTGTCCCGAAAAACCCGATAGAAAAATTTAATTTTTTTTTATTGTAAAAAAAATATTCTACAGATAAAAAAAATTATAGCCTTGTTTCTAGCAAGAATTTTAAAAAATATATCAATTTATTTAACAAAATGTAAAATCATTTTTATAAATTTAAGCCCGAGACCCAGTTTGGACCGGGTCATGATTTGATGATCTCTGTTAATACCATAACCCATTACTGGTAAATGTTAAAACTATCACACTAAAGTTAGTTTTTTTTTATGAATATTGTTTTTTTCTTTTAACTAAGACATCTTATTTTAAAAAAATTGCGAAAAGATTGAATTTTTTGGGATGATCAAAAATGGTCCAAATATGAGTTAAAAAATATTAAAATTTGTGAGATATTTTAAAAAAAACTTTAATTAAATTTAAGTATAGATAAATTATATAATAAAATAATTTATAAAATTTGAAGAATTTCGAGTCGAGTGTTTTAAAGACTTGCAATTATTACAAATATAATCCTTTATTTCACCAAAATTTTGTAAAAAATAGTCCATTATATATTTTTTTTTCATTTCATTATCATCAAAGCTCCCTTATTCTTTATTTCTACAAGATTTGGGATGATATTAAAGATGCCAGCATCATATTCATTTTTTATATTTTATCTCTTCAAGATAAACAGTTCAATTATAATATCTACCAGTCATGATCTTGGCCTTAAAAAATCTATTCATACTGGGTAAGCAATTGCCAACCTATAGTATTGTTAAAAAGGCGATGTGGGTCAATTTTTAAAAAAAGTCCGATTAGGATTTTAGCCAAAATAATATTATGTAAACCTCGTTAGTTGGCAAATAGATTTTCACACCTTTCTACCATCTATGAGCAAAATCTCTTAACTTACATAATATTATTTTGGTTACGATTTTAATCGAACTGTTTACTAAAATCGACCCGAATCGGGCTTTTTAACAATACTATCAACCAGGCATTAGCAGACCCACATCCACTCTTCATAAAGCTGGTACTAGTACCTCACCCTGTTGATTTCCTTTTATCAAGTGAATTATTGGAACAATGTCCCAGCTAAGCTATCCTGAATTCTAAATAGAGCTACGAATGGTTGTCGGCTATTCTAAGCAAAAATCTCGGTCTTCTCACTAATGAAGAACTTTATATAACTATTTGGCTTTATCTCAGCTGTGATATATCGTTTCCTTCCAAATGTATTAATTGTTATTTTCGATCTGATTCTATAGGACACTGTAATGTATAAACAGTATTTTTGTTTTAGGATATAATTTACTCAATGATATGTTGATTGATATTATCGTTAATATATGTTCGATTAATATATTTATACATATCATTGTTATGTCTTTATCTTTTCGTCTTGTTAAAATAAAATTATATTTTATTTTTATAAACCTTTTTAATTATATAACTTTACTTGATAGTTTGGAGAAAATATTTAAGGATATCTCCAGCATTTTCCTATATCGAAATAATTTATATACGTTAAAAAGAGGCGGAGAAATTATTATAGATTTTTTTACCAAATTAGAAAGTATTTGCTCACTATGTAATTTCAAATCGCTTATTGATGAACTTATAAGATATTTTTATCTTATGAATAGGGCTGCCCGAGTTGGATAAAGAGCTTCGGTCAATACTGAAGGCAATATAACCTTTGAAGATATTAGCGATAGCTTTTTCTTCATTGGAAAAAGAAACATTAGAATTAAAAAAATAAAACATAAACTGAAGCAAGATTCCAAACACACGTATATTATGAATAATAGTTATAATAACGATAATAAATTCAATAATAATAGTTACAATGCTAACAAAATCAATCATAATAATTATAAATCTAGTTATAAACCCAACTTCATATAAAAAAAGATGCTGTCGTTGCAGCAAGGCAAACGAACTTATGCCATACAGATGATTCTACCATGGACATTTCGCCTTTCGTTTCCTAATTAAGCTATCATTGATGCGGAAATAAATGGTTTGCAGTTTACAATGGAATTCGATAGAGGTGTTGCGTGCAGTATGAAGATGAAGTTGCCTGGAGACGTATTACCAAATCATTATTATCGCCTGCGTATAAACTAGTATTATATAAAATCAAAATCGAAATGTTGGGTAAATGTACAGTGAAAGTCGAGGTAAAAAACATTTGTAAATTTTACCTAGATAGGTGATTATTTTTGGAATGCTTTTCCTTAGAGCGATATAAAACTTCAGGAATAAGTTCGGATAAAAAATATAAAAGTTAACACTTCCACTTTATATACTATTGCATTGAAATTTACTCAAGTTTTTGAAATAAAACTCCAATAAGCAGTTATCTGCATACAACCGAACGCATTATCGATAACTTACCAGCAAGAAGAGTTCCATTTCTGCTGCATCGAACCGTTTAAATGGTTGGACTGACTTTTAGATGAAGGCGTCATCGAAAAGGTGGGCATCCAACAAGTCCTATCACTTGGGCTACGCCAACGGTTAAAATGTTAAAGAAATATGCTGCCGCGCGGATATGCGGAGATTTTCGTTTAACGATCAACAAATATTTGGTGATAAATAAAGATTACTACCAACTGTCGTCGACCTGAGAAATAGGATCGCGTGTGGTAAAATATTTTTAAAGATAAATTTAAGAGATGTCTTTTTAGAATTCGAAGTTAGCCCAGAATGTAGGAACCTTTGAGTAATTTTGAATCAGGCAATACAATTCCAAGAAACGAAGGTAATTCTTTCACATTTTACGAAGTTTTAAAATTTTTTGTGCCAATAATCTTATCTTATGTAGGGTGAAATCCGGATTCATCAATAACATGATCCAAATAAGTGACTTACTTTTTACCAAGTTTAATTTTATCTGTCGTCGTTGGAAGTCCTTATCAAATTTATACTTCTTCTAAATTAACTACATGATCAAAATTATTTTCGCCAGCAATTATTACAACATCTAAAAATAAACTGACCATAAAAATTCCATTTAATAGGCTTTGCATAGTGTTGAAATATTATCAAAGCGTTAGTCCCAAAAGGGATTCTTAGATATCGATAATAACCTTTCGCAGATTATTTATTTCCCTCGCCGAATTAATATGTGCTAAACTTTCAACTTCAACCCATTTGGTGAAGGCGTCTACGCAAATTAACCAATATTTTCCATATACGGAGCTTAAATCAATATGAATTAGTTCCCAAGGATGGGTAGGAATGTTCCAATTGTATAATGGCATTTCTATGGCCCGCGGTCTTCCTGACAACTCTTGCTGCATTTAACAAAATCTTCAATACCAAGATCAAGATTTGCCCAAAAAATCTAATATCTGGATATTTATCCCCACTATATCAGGATTAGAGATCTGCAAAGTTAGGCTCGGGCCTTATTCTATTTAAAATAATAGGGTTCGGGCTGGGCCGGGCCTAATATTTTTAAAATCGGGCAGGGTCGGGTCGGACCTTGGAAATTTTTTTTAAATATATCTAAATTTATCAATTTTATATTGAATTTTTTATGTAAAATAAATTTTTAATTTAATTTATTGAAACTAAACGCCATATAACATATGTTTTTATTTTGAGTAATTATATAAATTAATTTCTATATTTAAGTAAATTCGGGCCGGGCCGGGAAATTTTTTTAAAATAAATTTCGGGTTCGGGCCGGGTGGGGCCGGCAAAATTTAAAAAAATTTCGGGCCGGGCCGGGTTTGAAAAATTACGCCCGATGCAGATCACTAATCAGGATGTCCTGAATAACATTCAGAGACACCTTCATAAGATTATCAAGGATAATAACCTTCTTCATCTTTCATTAAAATAAATCTTTTTAAAATCTCCAAATATTATTTATTATCAATATACCAATGATTCTTAATTAATTTGATACTTTCATATTGACATCTTTGCTCGTTTCACTTACGACTTTACCGCGAGTGAAAGATAAGTCTTCTATTAGATTAATTTTTAATCCTCAGATTTCATTTTCGATTTTTTTTGTAACCTCATTTGCTTTTGTTATCTACCCCCAACCAGGATAGAGCGTCGGCACATTTGTTTTGCTTTCCAGATCTATGAATATATCCTAGTCGTAATTAAATAGCCGCCCATCATATTAAACGGTTATTTGTTATTTTATTTAGGTCTCTTTTATCACCTAAGATATATTTTAAGGGTATGTGATCCGTAACAAAAATAAAATGTCTTCCATAAATATATTGATGGAACTTCTCAATAGTGATCAAAATCGCTGAAGCCTCCGATCAATGATGGCGTAATTCTTTTCAGCAGCCGAGTCAATGATGTGTACGAAATTGGATTCTCCTGACCAATAAGAAATCGGTGTGCAATAACATCTCCTTGTCCATCTTAGAAATCTTCCAAGAAATCACGATAGGAATAAGGAATTATTGTATCTTCCTTTGATAATATATTTTTAACTTTATAAAATATTTCATTTTCTTAAGGTTGACCAAAACCAAACATTTCAACTCGTTAGTTGGCATAAAGGTGCACAAATAGAATGTAAATGGGACAGTGGTTCAACATAAAAGTGTGATACTGTATGTTGAGTCTGATGAAATTGTAAAAAAACAAGCATAGTATAAACAAATTGAATTTTTGTTTTAGAATATAATTTACTCAGTGATCTGTTAATTGATTGATATTGTCTTTAATATATCTTTGATTATATTAATATATATACATATCATTGTTAAAGTATCTTTATCTTATCATTTTGTTAAGATAAAATTATATGTTATTTTTATAAACCTTTTATTAAAATGGTAAAACGTTTCAGACACCATCTTTTATATTTTATATATCATACAAACATAAATAACTTAATCTCAAAAGCTCTTAAGAGCCAGTATCCCAAATACCCTTGATAATCATTTATGCTCAATCAATAACAAGAGACCTAATGGTATCTACCTAATATCTTGATGTTCTGGTCTTTCAGTTGCTTGGGATTACATATGCATCAATTTTTTGGCACAATCCTACAGAAATGCCTCAGAAATTAGTTTGACAGAAATCTTGAAAATAAATAAATATTCAGATTCAAACATAAGTAACATAATTTATCCTACTTGTCTACTCTTTGGTGAGGAATTTCTTAAATTTATCACATTATTAGGGAGAAAATTAAGCTAAATAATGGTGATCATAATGAAGTCTTCTATTTCAAGCCATTATGATGGTTATTTAACAAAATAATTTCAATGCTATTAATGAACCCATATATCAATTCAAGTAAGCCAGTCATTTTCTTATTTTTTTAAATTTTTATATGAGTTATTTATTTTTTATAAAAATTAAATTAATTTATAAAAAAATTAAAACATGTGAATTAATACTTGATTTTTTATAATATATAATTAACAATTGAGTTAATAATTAGGTGTAGTAAGAAAATTATTTTATAGGTGATTGGCAATCATTAGGGTAACCTATTTTTGTGGGTATTGAAATTTGAGAATAAATATTTTAAAATATTTTATTAAAAATATATTTGTTTTTTATAATGATTCAAGTGACAAATATAATAAAAAATCTAAAAATCATATTTTAATAATACAACAAAACCCAGTAATTAAGTTTAAGTTTTAATTAGTTAGATGATAACTTGAGGCTCCATTTGAAGCTATAGATTCAGTGTTGGACAATTCTTTTCCTGGTTCCAAATATATTAAATGCAAGCGCTGGCCAACAACTTTATTTATTATACATGGTCTCATTGCAGATATATCATTTTTATCTAATGCTTCCAAACGCATGCCAGGTCTAAAGCGTGATTCTAAACATCTCATTAACTATAATTTGAAAAAGATTTTTAATTTTTTTTATTATATATATTTTAAACTATGAATTATAATTATATCAAATAATAACCTTATCATGAAAATTTGATGGGAGGGTTTTGGCACCTACCAGAGTTTCAACCAAAAAATTTTTCCAATCCTCAAATTTATGTTGTATGTCTAAAAAAACTGGTAATTAATATTAAAAAAAGTAATAATAACTTTTGGGTGGGATTAATTGACATTGATTAGTTGATGACCATCCAACTTCATGCACATCAGGATTTGCTAAATTAATCCAAAAATCATTGCTATTATCATCTTGATAACCCTCATAACGTAATAACGCAAAATATCCTAATCATTATTTTATCAATACAATTAGTATGGTCAATTTGATTGATAGGGAATGTATTATATGCACCCATTCTGCCAAACTAAACAGGCAAATCTTATCTCTCAATATGATCCATAAAATTTTTTTTACTACTAAATACTAATAAAATACATATCCCCCATCCATTCTACATCCATGGCTGTATAAAAATTAATCAATCTAAAATTTAGCAATAAAACTAGAAGTAATACAATTAAACAATTTTAGAAATAAATTTGACCTGTCACTTTGATAATACTTGCAATCCAATAACCTTGAAGTGAGGCATCACAATCAATGTTAATAATTTCTAGCTTCAATCCTTCAGTTATCTGCTCCCAACCATCAGATAATGGAAGCTATACATTTAAATTATATTAAAAATTAAATTATTTAAAGATTACATGTCGGAAACAAGAAACAGGAGCTCCATACACATTTTCATTTTGAGCAAGAAGCTTATCCCAAGTATACGAGTCAGATGGTGCTATATTATAAACTATATTGTGGTGTAAAAAATGGATTAAACTTTTATTCATCATTATGAAAGAAAACGTGGCTGTTGGCGATAAAGCAAGTGGCCTCTGAATTAATTGTGAATGAAGTGATATTGATTTTCTCCCTTTGTTAATAAATTTTTTTGCATCCATGGGATATTTTTTCAATTTTATCAGTAAAATCCCGGCCTATATGAATATGCTGAATTAATAAGATTTGACATCAATTATTGATGGCTAATCTTTCGAATACTGTCAATCATGGCAAGAAATAAATTATATGATATACAGTGTTGTGATGATTTAATGAAACATATTGACGATTAAATTCAAACCCATTCATATAAAATTATAATATTTGCAAAAATAATTAAAATATAGACAAAGCATTATTGAAATTTCTTTTATTATTCCTTTTGTTATTTTAATTATTTTTGCAAATATTATAATTTTATATGAATGGGTTTGAATTTAATCATCAATATGTTTCATTAAATCATCACAACACTGTAAACTATATTTTAATTTATAATCCATTTCATTTATAATGTACATTAAATATAATATTTTATTTTACTTTATACTATAAAGTTACATTCTATTATTTTCTATATAAAATTTTAGCCTTATATAATTTTTTAGGATAATTGGGATATAAATTCATAACAAAACTAACAAATTCAAGTAATATTAAGAATTTTCTATTATACATGATATAAATGATAAAATTAAATAAGTTAAGATAAAATGTCTCAAATTTTTTCTATATTTTAATATTGCAAAAAAACTCTTCCATAGAATAGCATGTTTTGAAAACAAATGTATATTCCTTTTTATATTCGCATTTTTTTTATTAATATCACTTGAATAATAGTTTTTCTTTTTATTTTATTTTGGTTTAAGAAATGATTATTTTTGCATTCTTTTTTGATGAGTGTTTCAGAATTATGTATCTTGCACTAAGCAGTGACGTCGCATGAAGGGGGGGGGGGTTGGGATTGAGCCCCCTGGAAAATTTGAATAGCCTTCTGAAGCAAAAGAATTTTTTTTAATGGAATCTTAACCCTTTGAACTAAAAATAAATTTTTTTGATTGCCCCTTGAAAGATTTCTTTTAAAATTCTATTAAGTAAAATATAGATTTAATTTTATTATTTAAAAATTAATAAGACTATTATACTAATTAAGTTTATTTTACTGGCAATCACCATGAAATATATTAATATGATTGATTTGTATCTATGACATTTATATCATTGATAATATATATATATGACATTTATAACATTGATAATATATAATATAAATCTCATTTATAACATATCCCCACACATATGATCTTACAATTCCTCAATAAGCCGATTTGTAGGTTTCCTGGCTCTTTGTGATTTCCGCGTTTCTAGTTTTCCGTTATCTTCCACATTTTCTAAAATCTCAACTATATCCGACTATTTATTTTTTTATATTTTCCTCTTCTCTCTCTGACTCCATATTTTCTCCATTATCTTTCCCTGGCCCAGACTTCTCCATTTCTTTAGCTACCTCCCTTTTTCGAAGTTGATCCGCATGCTTTCGTACCATTCTATCCTTGCTTTCTACCAAATAAGAATATCTGCCAGTTCTGGATTTTATAATTCCTTCTCTCCAACCTGAATTTATTTCATTATGCACCCATACCGGTTGTGCAATCTCAAATTCTCTCATATGACTATGTTCATCATGCGCTACTTTTTGTCTTATATTCGATCGTTCCATTTCATAACTAACATTAGGACGTAACCAATTCAATCCCGTTTTTAAATTTCGCCCCAATAATAACTTAGCCGGTGAACGTCCAGTTGATTGATGCTCACCCATTCTATATGCTAGCAAAACTTCTCCCATGGCTTCCTCGGGCTCCCTGATGTCTTTCCTAGTTGCAAAATATCGACTCTTGAGGGTTCGTATCGTTCTTTCCGCTAAACCGTTCGTTTTTGGATGGTACGGTGTTGTATGTATCAATTTAATATTTTTCTCGAAACAAAATTTTAGAAATTCTCCAGAAATAAATTGAGGTCCATTATCTGATACGATTTGTCTAGGTGTTCCAAACCGTGCGAACCATTTCCTTAAAACCCTGATCATTGTCGGGGACGTGGTCTCTCTCATTAACTCAACCTCAGCCCATTTAGTATGTGCATCAACTCCAACTAACCATGAATACGAATCAATAGGCCCCGCGAAATCCAAATGAATTCGTTCCCATGGTATATTAGATATGTTCCAAGAATATAAAGGAACCTCCATAATATTCGACCGATTACTTTGACAAGGCATACATTGACGAACATATTGTTCAATATCTTTATCGCAATTCGGCCACCAGCAATACATTCTAAAAATTGATTTCATAGCATTTATTCCTGGATGCCCTCTGTGTATAATCGTTAAAATTGATTTCCTCAAAATGGTTGGAATTACCAACCTCCCATTCCATTCAATAACATCATGATCTACTGACAATTCCTCTCTACGATTATAAAAACAAACTAACTCTGTATTTTTTTTCGCATCAAAATCCACCCATCCATGCTCAATGTTTTTAACTACTTTTTTAAACAAGCTATCATTCCTTGTTTCCTTTTGGAGTTCAACTTGACTAATATTTATATCGTGCAAATTTATAGCTCTAATTTTTAACGCGTTTTTTTGATCATTATTTGATTTTATGCCATCTATTGGCAGTCTAGATAATGTATCAGCTACTTTATTATCTTTTCCAGGAACATATTCAATATCAAAATCATATGCGGACATTTTCCAAGCCCAGCGCGTTAATCGACTATTGGATATTTTTGGTAGTTCCCGTTTATCACCAAATAATTTTCCCAAAGGTTTGTGATCTGTTCGTAATAAAAATTTTCGACCAAAAATGAATGTATGAAATTTTTCCATACCAAACAAAAGTGCTCGTGCCTCTTTTTCTATTGGTGCATAATTTTTCTCTGACTCTAGAAGTGTTCTCGAGGCAAATGCGATTGGTCTGCTAATATCTTTTTTCACTAAATGACATAACACAGCTCCAAAACCAGTGTTGGAAGCGTCACATTCCAATATAATTGGCAAGTTTGGCGAATATGGAATTAGCGTTTTATTTGTTGACAAAAGCTGTTTTATTTTATCAAATACCTCTTGTTCCTTGTCCGACCAACCCCAGCAAGATTTAATGCTTGTTAATTTATGCAGAGGAGCGGCAATTCCATGTAGATGTGGCAAAAATCTCTCGTGATAATTCACAAGTCCTAAAAAAGATCGTAATTGGTGTATATTATTAGGAGTTGGTATCCTTCGAATAGCATCTATTTTTTCTTTCGCTGGATGTATTCCATATTTGTCTATTACGAAACCCAAAAAAGAAACTGATTCATTTAAAAAACGTATTTTGGCCCATTTTGCCTTCATACCCACCTGTTTTAGTTTCATTAGTACTTTTTTTACGTTATTCAAATGTTCTACATCATTTTTCCCCGTTATGATAATATCGTCAAGATATACTCCAGTCATTCGGCAGTCTTGTAATAAATTGTCCATATATCTTTGAAATATGGTCGGCGCACTAGAAAGACCGAAAGGCATACATTGATATTGGAAATAACCAATGTGGGTCGATATGGTTAAGTATTCTTTTGAACTTTCTTTTATTGGTAATTGTAAATATGCATCTTTCAAATCTATTACCGTAAATTTCAATCCATCTTTTAATTTGGTTAAAAGATCATCCACCGTTGGTATAATATGATAATCGTACAAAATATATGGGTTTAATGTCACCTTAAAATCCGCACAAATCCTGATTTCTCCATTTGTTTTTCGTACGTTTACCGTTGGAGTGGCCCATGTCAATCGTTTTTGTGTTGGATCAATCGCCTTCAATATTCAACCAATCTATCGAGTTCCATTTCAATTGGTTTTCGTAATGGAAAAGGTACTCTACGAGCTGGCCATGATTTCGGCCTTGCTGCCTCACTCAAATGTATGCTAACTTCTATATCATTCACCCGTCCAGGCTTGTCATCAAAAACACTAATAAATTCTGTTGTCATGCCAGCAATTTGTTTATTGGTTGTCATAACCTCTTTATTTGTGATACTACGTATAGTCACTTGTCGTGGAATAAACATATTAAATGCCAGTATCCATGGTAGTCCAAATAATGGAATATCATTTGAACCGGTCACCACAATCGGTAGTGATCTGCTTATCTTTCCAAGACGAACCCTCACCATAGTTTCACCCAGCACATCTAGCGGTTGGTTACCATATACTGATAAAGGTTTGGTTGGTCCAAGTTTGGGTCGGCCAATTTCATCCCAATATTGTTTCCCAATCACCGATACCTGTGCCCCCGTATCATAGTCAAATTCTATAGGTACTCCATTAATCCAAACAAATATCTTTGCACTATTTCTACCAATTTGGGATATATTATTAATTGAATCTGATGAATCATTGTCATCTATATGCATAGCATGTAACTTCTGTCCCTTACAATATTTAGCATAATGCCCTACTATTGGCAATTATAACATTTCACCCTTGATGCAAAACATTGAAAAGGGGGATGAGTTCTTCCACATTTTGAGCATTTATTAAACTTATACATATCATTATTGTTAAATTTATTGTTATCTCTAAACTTAAAATTATTATTATTGTAATAACTAAAATTACCCTTTTCTTTGTTATTATTATTATATGAGTACTTTTGATTTGAAAAATTTTCTTGATTATTCTCTATCTGCTCCTTAGGTTTATTGACTTTTTTTACCATCATATTTGTCACTTCATCCTCAGCCCTTTCCATTGCCAAAGCCATATTTAAAACCTGTTGAAAACTCACCATTTCTCCTAAGTCATTTATTCCATCTGGAAATCTAGTGCGAATATCTTTCTCCAATGCACTCATTTTGATTCCAGCCACCATCTGATCCCTCAATCTCCCATCTAGGTCAGATTCAAATTTACATTCTTGAGCCAATTTTTTAAGTCGAGCTGCAAACTCCGCAACTGATTCACCAACCCCTCTTTCTATCCGAATAAATTTAATTCTCGAGCTAAATAATGTTGAAATAGGCTTAAAAACTTTCTTACCAACTTCAATAATCTCTTCATAATTAAGATCTTTCAATATTTTTGGATAAACAAAGGACCTCATCTCAGCTAAATTACTAATACCCATATACGCAA